GCCCCACCCCTACCTCTACACCTGCATCCACCCCCGTCCCTACACCTGCACCCACTCCTCACCTGTCCCACCCTACCCCTACACCTGTGCCCACCCCCATTCCTGATGCCTCCCCACCTGCGCCCACCCCTCCTTATGGGCACACACAGATGCCTGCACCCCCACCTAAGAGAGACCACACCGAAGTCCCGAAGAGCGCCAGGCCCTGTCCCGCAGTGAGAACCCATCCCACACTATCCCCCTTACCTCTGGCCTGTGCCACCTCACACATGCCGCCAGGGCCCCACCTCCCTCTCACATGCACCCACCCAGATCCCACCGTGGCCCCTGCACACTCTCTCTGGTGGAAGGAGGGGTCCCCAGAGGGGGGGCGGCTGGAGGAGGGACAGGGCTGGACCCCTCTTTCTCCCGCGCAGCCCTGTCCGAGGCGGCCGAGGTGTACTTCAGTGCCATTCAGAAGATCGGGGAGCAGGCCCTGCAGAGCTCCACCTCGCAGATCCTGGGTAAGGGGCTCCCCTCTCTCTGCTCTGCACGCGTTTTGGGGCCTCGGGGGCTCCTCCCGGCCCCTCTCCGCCCCAGGCCTCCCCCGCTGTCCAGGCTCCAGGCACCGCCTGCCTCCCGGTGCCGCCTCACAGCCCGGGCTCTGCTTGCCTCTCATTCTCCATCCGGAGGGGAGGGGATTTCTTTTACAACTTGCCTTTCCAGGAAGTCCCCCAAAGACACGGGTCCTGCAGCCCAGGCTCCTCCCACCCCTCCCTGCAGGGCCCAGAGCCCTATGGGAAACCCGGGACTTTGTCCCGAAGCCCAGCCTCAGGCAGGCCCTTCTGGAAGCCTCTGTTGGGAGGAGGGGATGGGGCGGGATCCCTCTCTGAGCCGCTGTTCTTGGGGCTCCTAGGTGAGATCTTGGTGCAGATGTCAGACACCCAGCGCCACTTGAACTCTGACCTGGAGGTGGTGGTGAGTATTGGGAGGGGTCACCCTCCACACCCCGCGGAGGAGGACTCGCTGAGACCCCAGTGACACGGCACCAGCCGGCCAGGCTCTGCCAGGCACATGGGTCTGCAGCGTCTTGTTGGGCCTCCAGCCACCTGGGCAGCAGGGACCGTTTCTGTCTCCACTTCACAGAGGAGGGAACTGAGTCTCAGAGATGCAGCCACTCTCCCAAGGTTCCAGCGTCAGAGGAGGAGCCAGGAGAGATGGGCCCGCCCTTCCCTCTCGGGGAGCAGCGTGCAGTTTGACCTTGTCCCGCCCTGAGAAAAACCCTCCACACCAGCCACCCCAAAGTGCTGCACCCCATTCACAGCCCAGCCACCCCGAAGTGCTGCACCCCATTACAGCCCATTAGCCACCCCGAAGTGCTGCACCCCAGCCACAGGCTAGCCTTCCCCCGCTGGGCTGCTACGATGCTGTCCTCTCCCAGAAGCCCCCACCCCTGCGATCCAGCACAGCGGCCCCTCCTCCATGAAGCCCCCCTGACTCCTGGGCAGGTTCAGTCCCTCCTCCCTCCAGACCCCCCAGATGCTCCCCTCTGTTCTTAGCGCATGGCAGTTAGGAGCACTGGGTTCAAAGCCCAGCCTCACCGTTACTGGCTTTGTGGCCTGGGGTGAGCTCTCCTGGCATAAGCTCTCTGTGCCTCAGTTTATCTTTCTGTGAAATGGAGACAATCACAATACCTGCCGTATAGGGTCTTGTGAGGATTCAGTGAAATGGATACGTACACACCCTTCGCCTGGCACCCGGGCCCTTCGAGTCCTTTAGCTGTTCCCTGCCCTTGTCCCTGCCACAACTGAGAGCTCTGCTGGGGTGTGGTCTTCTCCGCAGCTCGAGGGCCTGGCACGGGGACTGGCACTGAGCAGAGCTTCAGGACTAGGAGGGAAGAACACGCTGTGAAGGGGGCGCGGGGCTTGGCCAGAGGGGGGGAGGAGATGGGGCGTTCCGAGGGAGCACAGTGGCCAAGTGGGGCGTGAGCGCGGCATCCATGGGAGACAAGCCAAAGGCCGGAGCTGGGGCAAAGGGGCGGTGGGGGCGGTGGTGAGGGGCCTTAGAAGCTTCTGAAGGAAATGTCAACTGATTGTGACAGTCCGTGGTTCTCAAACACGGGGGGACCCTAGAACTCGGGATGCTCTTTGTGGGACACCATTACATACTCATCAGCGTGGTCATCAGGTTGAAATGGGAAACAATTTCACCAGCGGAAACTGTGTACCCACCTGCACAAACCCCGGGCAACTCCCCGGCGCTCTGACGTGGGTGCAGCCGTGCACCTGCACTGCCCCTGGGCTTGGGCGGGAGTTAGGAGCCCGGCCCCCACGGGCAGCCCGGGACCGCCTGTCCTTGCGTTTGATGGCTCTCCGTGTCACTGTGGCACCCCTGGGCCGGACAGGGACAGTGTCACCCAGGCCCGCTCTGTAAAAAGAGCTGCCATCTCTGGGCACCGGTGTCTTGGCTGTGACAACCGGGCAGGGCCCTCGGCCAGAACCACACTGGGCAGCACACGCCAGAGGCGGCCTCCCTCTCTGGCTCATTCATTGGACGGCTCCTCACCGCCTTGTGCCAGGCGCTGTCGGAGGCACTGGGGGTCCAGCAGGCGACAACGCTGCCGTCCAGAGAGCGGAGCCAGCCCCAGCCCCAGCCCCAGGCACGGAGGCGTGGGTCTGTGTGAACTGTGCAGTCGGCATTTCTTTACGTTCTGCGTCATTCACTCGGCATCCGGGCTGTAAGTTTAACCCCTGCTGTTGCAGGCATCGATGCTTTGTTATGTTTAACTGCTACGCCTTCCATTGTACGAATATCGAATATCGGTTTGTTTACCTCTTTTCCAGATAACAGTCATTTGGGTTGCTTTCCATTTGGGGCTATTAGAAAGGGGGTTGCTGTGGCCCTGGCTGGTTTGGCTCAGTGGATAGCGCGTCAGCCTGTGGACTGAAGGAAGGGTCCCTGATTTGATTCTGGTCGAGGGCACGCGTCTCAGTTGCAGGCTCCTCCCCAGTCTGGGCCCTGGTCGGGGCGCATGCAGGAGACAACCCATCGATCCATCAATATTTCTTTCTGTCTTTCCCTCTCCCTTCCACTCTCTCTAAAAATCAATGGAAAAATATCCTCGGGTGAGGATAAAAAAAAAAGAAGAAGAAAAAAATCAGGGCTGCTGTGAACATTCTTGTACAAATCTTTTGTGAGTATATATCTCCATTTCTCTGGGGTAAACATCTAGGAGTGGATGATGGCCCTTTGGGCTGATACATACTTAGCTGTACAAGAAGCTGTCGGAGCGCTCTCCGAAGTCCCCGGACGATCTGCACTCCCGCCAGCGGATCTGAGGCTGCCGGCCCCCTGTCCTTGCCCACCTCCCTGCTGTCAGTCTGCCTGGCCCTGTGGTCCGGTCCTCGCGGCTGTGGAATGGTGTGCCTCGCTGTGGTTACATTTTGCATATCCTGGTGACTAAAGGGCTTGCTGGACATTTGCATATCTTCTTGCGGGTGTTTATTTAATCTTTTGACCGTTTTTTATTGGGTTACTGTTATCGCTGACTTTTCGTGTTCTTCAATAGAGTCAAGACGTGAGTCCTTGGTCAGATGTATGTACGGTGAATGTTTTTTCCGAGTCTGTAGCTTGTCCACTTGTTTTCTTAATGGCGTCTTTAAAATTTAAAATTTTTATGAAGCCCAACTTGGCAGTTTTAAAAAATGGTCTGTGCTTGTATCCTCCCCAAGAAATCTTCGCCTACCCCCATCGCAAAGATAGCCTCCTACGTTTTCTTGTAGAAGTTCTATGTTCTGGGCTTTACACTTATGTCTATGATCCATCTCAAATGGATTTTTGTGTATGAAGTGAGAGGGAGTCAGGGTTCCTTTTGTCCTGGACGGATATTTGGTTGTTCCAGACCATTTTTTTAAAAAAGCTTCCCTTTCCCTGTTCAATTCACTTGGTGTCTTGGTCAAAAAGTGATTTGTTCTATATGTTTAGGTCCATTTCTGAACTCTCCATTGATTTTCAACCGGTGTGGCCACAATAATTTTTAAAACGTGCAGTGCCTGGCTATTTAGTCAGGGGCACTGACCTTTTCGCCCTTAGATTGTCAAATAAAAAAAAATGAGCCGAATCGGTTTGGCTCAGTGGATGGAGCATCGGCCTGCAGACTGAAGGGTCCCGGGTTTGATTCCAGTGGGGGGCATGTATCTTGGTTGCGCGCACATCCCCACTGGGGGGCGTGCAGGAGGCAGCTGGTCGATCTCTCTCATCGATGTTTCTAGCTCTCTATCCCTCTCCCTTCTTCTGTAAAAAATCAATAAAATATATTTTTTTAAAAAAAATGACAACAGCGAACACAACAATAGCTATTCTGTGTGAATGAATCAAAATGATACGTTTTTTGGTTAGATAAGCAAAAAAAAATGTATTTTTTGATGTGCTGCAGAATTTTAGTAATTAGTTTATGTGTGCCATAAGGTAAAGATTGAAAATCACTGCTCTACTCTGACCATCAGTATCTTTGTCTATCCTTATACCAATACCACACTGTATAAATCACTGTAATTTATAGTAATCTTGAAATCAAGTAGTCTAAGAATTTTTTCTTTTTTTCACAATTGTCCACTCCATTAAAGATCCTTTGCATGTCCCTATACATTAGAGAATCGGCTTGTCAATTTCTCTAAGAAAGCCTGCTGGCATTTTGATAGTGATTTTATGAATCTGTAAACAATGGTCATCTTAATAATATCTAGTCCTTTGATCCATGAACATGGTATGCCGCTCTATTTATTTATTTCTCATAGCAATGTTTTGTCATTTTCAGTGTAGCAGTCTTGCACATCTTTTGATAGTTTTATTTCTAGGTATTTGACATTTTTTAAAGTCATTTGTAAATGGCCTTTTATTATTATTTTTTTAAAATATATTTTATTCATTTTTTTACAGAGAGGAAGGGAGAGAGATAGGGAGTTAGAAACATCGATCAGCTGCCTCCTGCACATCTCCTACTGGGGATGTGCCCACAACCCAGGTACATGCCCTTGACCGGAATCGAACCTGGGACCTTTCAGTCCGCAGGCTGACGCTCTATCCACTGAGCCAAACTGGTTTCGGCGTAAATGGCCTTTTAAAATGTCATTTTCCACTTGTTCATTGTTTGACTTATTGTTTAGTAGGATCACTCTGGCTCTTACACTAAAAATAAAATAGTGTCCAGCTGGTATAGCTCAGTGGTTGAGCATAACCTATGAACCAGGAGGTTACGGTTCGATTCCCGGTCAGGGTACATGCCTGGGTTGTGCACTAGATCCCCAGTAGGGGGCGTGCAGGAGGCAGCCGATCAATGATTCTCTCTCATCATTGATGTTTCTATCTCTCTCTCCCTCTCCCTTTCTCTCTGAAATCAATTTTAAAAGTTTTTAAAAGAATAAAATAGCTGTGGAGGGCAAATGCAGAAGCGGAAGACCAGTCAGGAGGCTGTTGCAGTAATCTAGAAGAGGGAGGTGTGGCCGGGGAAAGGATTACAGCAGTGGTGGTGTTGAGAAGACCTCAGATTGAAAGGAGAACCAGTGAGATTTCCTGCTGGATTGGATGTGTGTTGCAAAAGAAAGGAGAAAGTCCAGGTAACTCCAGGGTCTTAACCTGACCAACGGGAAAGGTGGAGTTGCCATTAGCTGAGGTGGAAAAACTGAACGTGGAGCCATTTGGATGGAGAGGAGAGGCCAGGGGCTCAGTTTAGACAAGATAAGTGTAAGATGATGATGGAAGACAATCGGAGAGGTGGATGCCTCAGCCGCACACAGGAAGCTGTAGTTTGGGGGTGAAGTGGGGACTGGGATGGCCGTCTGAGCATGGGGCCTGCAGGAGCTCATGGGGGGCGGGGGGCACGTAGTGAGGAAGGGAAGAGGCCCAAGGCCTGAGCTCTGGGTCAACCCAGCGTTAAAGGGTCAGGGAGATGGGGGGACTCAGCAAAGGACGGAGCGGCCAGGGTGGGGGCGAGAGAAACAGGAGAGGGTGCGGCTGGAGGCTGGGGGAACAGGTGTTTCAGGAGGAGGGAGTGGCCAGTCGCGTCCAGTGGTGATGACTGGCTGAGGTGGGTGAGTCCAGAGAACTGACTTAGCAACATGGAGTCTCCGTGACCTTGACAAAAGCATTTTGTTGGTGTGGCAGGGCATGGCCTGACTGCAGGGGATTCAAGATCAAATGGGGGTTCGGCCCACAGGCAGTTCCTTCCAGGGGGTCTCCCGTGGAGATGGCAGAAGTCTTGTGAGAGTTCCTGGGGTCACACAGAGCTGGCAGCGATGTTCCCAGCAGCGGGGCTGCCCTCAGCTGCCACACACAGGGAGCTTCCAGGACGTGCTGATAGCGCGGGGGGCAGGGGAGAAGTCTGTCCTGACCTGCCAGGAGTCCTCAGTCTGCCTGGGCGGGGACTTCCTGGTTGCAAAGCCACCTGCCAATTATCGACAGTCATCTGCTTCCTCCGCCGCGAGAGCGCAAAGTCCGTGCGAGGATCATCCTCCACAGATCCGTTCCTCCAGGAGCGTGCGGGGACTTTCCATGGCCCTGTGCCCGGCCCATCTGGTGGGGCAGCCTCGGCTGTGCCGTCTCCCCGTCTGCCACCGCAGTCAGGCCGCGGCAATGGGGCGCCTTATAGCCCCTCTGTGCACTCACCCTGCCGCGGTGGCGCAGCCAGATGTGATCGGAGCAGGAGTGACATCATGTGATGGAAGGGGCTTGTTCACCGGCAGCGTTTCCAGGCAAGAGGAGAGGAGGAGGAAAACAATCAGGAGGGAGAGGGCTCCCAGCTTGTCTGCTGTCAGTACTATAAGGACCTTTGAACCATCTCCGCCCCCGGCCCCCCTCAGGCAGCCCACTTCCTCCTCCGCCTCAGCAGGCCAGCTCCGCAGTAGCTGAGGGGCAGCATGTCCGTTCCGTTGGCTTTGTGCGTCTGTGGTACTCTCTGTGGCCTTCAGTGTAGTTCAGGTTCGTCTCCCAGGTGCCAGTCGCCTCTTTCCTAGCGCTGGTTACACACTTGTCTGGGTTTTGAACGTCTGCCTGGCCCCACATCTCCCATAAGCCTATGGTTCCTATTGGGCGGCTCAGCAGGATGTGGGATGTTCAGGAGCACGAGTCTGTTCAGGCAGGAATCCCGACCTGTCTCTTCAGGGGGAGGCAGGGCCAGGGGGACGGTGGGCGCCTCCTGGCAGGGAGGTCTCGCCGGTTGGGAAGTTGCACTTCCTGTGGACCCAGCAGAAAGGGGCCCACACAGGCCAGAAGTGTGTACTCAGTGCAGCTCATAACACTAACACGCCCCATACCACTTACACACACACATACACACACCCTCACTCATACACACACACACTCTCACACCCTCACTCATACACACACACACACTCTCACACCCTGACTCATACACACACACACACACACTCTCACACACACGCTCATACTCACACACACATACTCTCACACCCTCACTCATACTCACACACACATACTCTCACACCCTCACTCATACTCACACACACATACTCTCACACCCTCACTCATACTCACACACACATACTCTCACACCCTCACTCATACTCACACACACATACTCTCACACCCTCACTCATACTCACACACACATACTCTCACACCCTCACTCATACTCACACACACATACTCTCACACCCTCACTCATACTCACACACACATACTCTCACACACACACACGCTCACACACACACCCACTCACACTCACACCCTCTCACACACTCACACACACCCCCTCATTCACACACCCGCACTCACACACACACACATACTCACACACACACACCCTCTAACACCCACACTCACAACACTCACACACACCCTCACTCACACCCACTCACACTCACACACACACACCCTCACACCCACACTCACACACACACACACACACACACACACATACACACACACTGGTAGCCACAGCTTAGGGGGTTAGGGTGTGTCCAGTCGCCTACAGACCAACAATTACCAAAGTTTCAGAAACAATTGTGGGGGAAAAAGTTAAAATTCAGAACTTTTATATTTACTGGTTTTCCTGCATCCTGGAAGGAAATTCCCAGCATTCCTTTTCTGGGCGATGCCGTACCCGGGGGACAGAGCCCCCGCAGCACAGCAGGGAGAACCCCGTGGCAGGAGGTAGGATGCCAGCAGAGGTGACGGTCCCCAGAGGCGGAGGTGGCAGCGGGTGAGAGACGCTCCTCTCCGCTCCCTGTGCAACCTGAACTCCAGGGCAGAGAGGGCAGCTGGAAGGACTGAGGATCTGATGCCCCAGCGATGCAGAGTGACCCAGGAAACACGATGGGACACAAGCGAATGTGCCAGGCGACCGCTGAGGCCCCCAAACAAAGCTCATCGGGTTTATCGGGCTGGACCTTAGCAGCACTTGCCAAGCCTTTACTATTACAGGTGGGGAAACTGAGGCCCAGAGAGGGGCAGCGACTTGTTCAAAATCACAAAGCAAATTGGAGACACAAGCAGAACTAGGACCTAGCTCCTCTGAGACGGCTCAGAAGCCTCCCCTGGCCTCCCGGCCACCCAGTGGTCAGCCGCCTTCTTCTCACCTGTCACGGGAACCTGCCACCCTCACAGCTACGGCGTCAGCCGTTCCGAGCACTTTTCCGATGGGCCCAGCCCTGCCCACGGTGCCAAGGATGCAGAGATGGGTCAGACTTGGTTCCTACCCACAGTGCTCGCTGCTCATACAAAAGGGCTGAAGAGGGCCCAGCAAGAGATGTTGTCCTGTGGCTGGAGGGGTGGACAGTGACCGAACAGATGTACACACCTTTCAGGAACTAAATGACTGAGCAGCGACCCCGTCGGGAGGTCAGGGGGCAGGCATTTGAAGATTGGTGGGGAATCCAGGCACGGGGAATGGCGTCGCCAAAGCACAGGCTGCGACCAGGAGTAGAACCAGGGGCCACTGGCACAGTTATCGAGGGTGTTTGAACGAGGTGCCACACTTAGTATTTCTCATGATTAACATTTAATCTCTCCTCCAGCCAGGCACCCTTGCTATGCCCATTTCTCTAATGACCGGGCAGGTGCCTGGTGTGTTAGCACTGGGTGGGCAAGGGTCTGCGTGGGCAGTGCAAGGGATGCTGGGGCCTGAGAAGGGAGGAGCCGCCTGACCACCCGCTGCCCTCCATGCAGGTGCAGACGTTCCACGGAGACCTGCTGCAGCACATGGAGAAGAACACCAAGCTGGACATGCAGTTCATCAAAGTGAGTCTGGCTGCCGCCTCTTCCCGCCTGACAGATGGCACTGACGCCAGCGCTGGGCAGTGCCCGGCCCCAGAACACACACGTTCCCAGCCGAGCCGCCTGCCCTGCCCAGCGCTCTGACCCATGGGCCAGGCGTCCAGAGCTCTTGACGTGGGTCTTCCCCCCCAGGACAGCCGCCAGCACTACGAGATCGAGTACCGCCACCGAGCTGCCAACCTGGAGAAGTGCATGTCTGAGCTGTGGCGCATGGAGCGCAAGAGGGACAAGAATGTGCGGGAGATGAAGGTGCGAGGGCTGGGGACAGGACTGGTCTCCAGGGGCCCTCTGATACCCTCCTGAGCTCCCCCCACCAGCACCAGGCCACGCCCAGGAGTGTGGCTTGCCTGAGCCCCTGCTGAGGCCAGCCAGCCCCCAGAGCGGGTGGAAATTACTGGTCAGAGAAGCCCTCAGCACTGCTCCTTGCCTCCCCAGGCGCCCCAGGCCCCTCCAAAACCCTAGCACCTCTCTAGCTTCCCCCACTTCACTGAGCAAACCCGAGACCACTGGTCATGCGCTCCTGAACCCACTAGCAAAGGTGTAACCCACCCTCCTTCCCCTCCCGCCTGCCCAGGCAGGGCTCTCCTCCCCAAACCCTGGACTCTCTCCAGGACCTTTGTCTCCTTCCCTGGCCCCTCCTCTGGCTCCTCTCATACACTCCTCTCTTTTCAGAATCTTCCCTCCCAAGTAGAGGGTTATTGATCAACTCATCTGCCCTTTCATTAAACCAGTCTTCCTGGCACCACCTCTGTGCCGGGCCGAGCTGGGTGCTGGGGACAGAGGGCTGTCTGGGGGGACACAGAGCCCAGGCCCAGGAGCACGAAGCTGCCTGTGACAGGGCAGGCCCGGGAGCTAGGATGGGCTGGGTGTTCAGGGGAGGCCCCCAGGAGGAGGCGGCTAGGTCCGGGAGGACAGGGAGGCTCAGAGAGCTGGTGCTCCAGGTGGGTGGAAGGAGGCACCCACCCCCTGCCTCAGCCCAGACCCCCCTTTCCCCCAGGAGAGTGTGAACCGGCTGCACGCACAGATGCAGACCTTCGTGTCTGAGAGCCAGCGGGCCGCGGAGCTGGAGGAGAAGCGGCGCTACCGGTTCCTGGCCGAGAAGCACCTGCTGCTTTCCAATACGTTTCTGCAGTTTTTCGGTCGGGTGAGCTGGGCTGGGAGGGTGAGGTGGGCTGGGACAGCATTGGAGCCCTCGGGCTGTGCTCTCGCGCTGGCTGCACAGAGGAACCGCCCTCCTTCCTCCTTTGCCTTCTCTCTTCCTCGGTAGCTATTTTATTTATTTTCTCTCTCCATCTATTTCTTTTTTACTTATTTCTGTGTCTATTTGTGCCATCAGATATTCATGCATTTATTCACTCATGGCTTTGTTTATTCTCACATCATTCACTAATACTGCATTTATTCATTAGTGTGTGAACCAGTTACTTTTTCATTACTGCTTGCATATACTTCCCATTCACAAATTCATTGATTCGTAGGTTCATTCAGTTATTGTCTGTTAATTTTACCCGATACTTTAAATCCTCTGTGCTTTGCTATTTGCTCAGACCAATCAGGTTTTTCTTCATTTCTCATTGTGTTTCTAATGGGTTTCGCTTTCTGTATTTTGCTGCCACGTTGGTCAGTGCTGTTGGGTTTGTGTTATACCTCCTGGGTTAGTGCTGTCATTTAGGTTCTCACTGTCTCTCATAATCCAGTCTAAAACTTTCAATTCCACTTCGTCTGAAATTAATATTGCCCTTCCTGCTTTCTCTTCTCTCACCCATTTTTAAAAATATTTTTTTTATTGATTTCAGAGAGAAAGGGAGAGGGAGAGAGAGAAAGAAACATCAGTGATGAGAAAGAATCATTGATCAGCTGCCTCCTGCATGTCCCACACAGGGGGTTTGAGCCCACAACCGGGGCATGTGCTCTGACCTCCTGGTTCATAGGTCAATGCTCAACCACTGAGCCACGCCGGCTGGGCTCACCTGTTCGTTGTAGGTGTGTTTTCTGTTACCAACATATAGCTCAGTTTTTATGCTTGACCCGTCTGACATCTGTCTTCTCATAGAGGAATTCGGTCTATTCCTCTTAACCTGACAACTGATACACCTGTTTTATTGTTTTTCAGATAAGTTCACTTAACTGTATTTACTTTGACATTTCTTCTTTTTCTCCCATTCTTGTTCATGTCATTTGATTGCGTTACTATACATTTCCCTTCCCCTTTATTAATTTGGAAATTCTACTGTTCTTATCTCTACTCATGATGACCACACTTTGTGACCCTCATAATCACATATATTTACCTAGCATCTTTTTTAAAAATATATTTTTATTGATTTCAGAGTAGAAGGGAGAGGGAGGGAGGGAGAGATAGAAACATCAATGATGAGAGAATCGTTGATCGGCTGCCTCCTGCACTGGGGATGGAGCCTGCAACCCGGGCATGTGCCCTGACTGGGAATTGAACCTTGACTTCCTGGTTCATGGGTCGACGTTCAACCAGCTGAGCACACCCTAGTGTCGCCCTAGTGAGTGTGAAGGACTGTCACGTTGTGGTTTTCATTTGCATTTCCCGGATGACTAGTGATGCTGAATATCTCTTCATGTGCTTATTGGCCACCATATGTCTTCTTTGGAAGGAAAGTCTGTGTCCTAACAGTTAACCTCCAGCGGACCCCTCCCTGGCTGCCTCCTGCGGGGTGGCCTCCCAGCAGGGGCCTGGGCTGGTGGAGCCTGACTTTCCCGAGGTATGGGGAATGGGCAGCATTGCCTGGCCCAGCTGGGCTTGAGGACATACAAGATCTGACTCCTCAGCTAGTTAACCATAAACATTTACTGTTACTGTGGCGAATGCATGAGATTCAGAACAAGACGCAGAGAACTGTGACTCCTGGCACAGGGAGGCATTCTTCTCGCCATCCCTAGCCATCAGTCCTTGCTTAGTCCGGGTCTCCTCAATAGCGCCTCACCCGCTGCAGCGCCTCCCAGTGGGTCGCACTATGCAAGTACATCTCCAGGGTGAATCCCCAGGAATGGAGTTTGAGAGTCCACGGATATAGGCATTGGTTATACCAAGTCACACTTCCACCAGCAGTGTGTGCGAGTCCCTGCTTCCTGGACAACAGTGTGAGCCAACTTTCTGATCTTTGCTCATCAGAAAGGTAAAAAGAAATTTGTTTGTTTTTTATTGCTTAAAGTATTACAAAGAGTATTACATATGTCTCCTTTTTCCCCGCCCTTGACAATCCCCTGGCCCCCCAGTGTCTTATGTCCATTGGTTATGCTTATATGCATGCATACAAGTCCTTCGGTTGATCTCTTACCCACCCCCCCCCAACCCTCCCCGGCCTTCCTGCTGTAGTTTGACAGTCTGTTTGATGTTGCTCTGCCTCTGTATCTATTTTTGTTCATCAGTTTATATTTTTGT